ATTCTAAGCTGCGCTAACAAGGTCAATTAACTTCAGACTAAGCTGAAAGTGTTTGCTTGCTATGATCACACCATTGCTATGCATACTGTGCACTTAGAAATATAATCAAATGCACACTATAATTAGCAGCGCAAATTCAACATCAGATTAGATTTACAAGTTCTGAAGAAAACGTGAGAGATGTTTGCACACACAAAATGCAGCGTTGAAGTGGCGTAGGATGAAAAACACACCAAAGCACCACTAAAAACAGTCTATGCCAGAGGATTACAGAGAAGACAGCCGTTTTCTCCACATGGAGCTAATAAAGACTCAACCTGGATGGAAACACGTGTAAACCCTTCGATGTGGGACATTCAGACTGTCATTTCAGAGAGGTACAGCAGTTTCTCCACTGACAGACAGGATTCACGTCAAATCTACCGAGACAAGTGTGGCCTTCCAGATAAATGAGTGTCTTTACTTCAGACGAAGGCTGTTTATGCTGCTTGATCCATTAAGGATCACCCAGTGAGATCCGCCTACCCACCCAGAACGCGAGGACAACCTTTTGACAACAAGTTCAAATTCTCACACATTAAGCAGCCATTAAAACATATATACCTGTATTTGTGATTCCCTGTCCAACACAGTTGCTTCAAAACACAAATGTCAAATAAACTACACTGACTCATAGACCATATGAAAAAGCGGCAATAAACAAGCAGCATTAGGGCCTGAGAAAGTGACTGTAGGGTGTTTGATAGAATGTACAAACACAATAAGCAGTGACTACAAACAAGATGAAATATTAAGATGCATTGCATCTCCACTTCACTGGTTTAAAGTTCAAGCAGGCCATTTAAGGGTCATTGTATAAAAAAGGTGACTTTAAGTGAAAAAGGTGATTTTTAAAGGCTTAAGGTCATGACACTACATGCTACTGACAAACCTAACAAAATATAAGACGTAGTGCTAAAAAATTCATTTAAAATGATAAAAAAAAATATATATATATATATCAAAATACACATAATTAAAGTGTTAGCCATTCAGTTTTAAAGTAATTTTTTTATGCACATGTTAATGAAGGAAGACAAAAGGCACACAGTTTTGTAGAATGACCCTCATCAGTCTTAAATCTGCAAAAGGAAACCATGTGTGAATGTGTTTGAGTAAACGCAAGAAGACCAGGTCAGCAAACCCTGCACTGTATTGTCACTGGTTGTATGTTGTTGGTTAATGCATATGTGTCATGTGCTGTTCCGTATAAAGCAGAAACGGGAGCATGGTATGGGGCGAACCCTTCCTATGGAGAAGTGGCCTGCAGAGGCTCATAAAGCAGCGCCAGTGAAATTTACAGGTTCTGTGTGGGCCTCCTTGTTAGAGCTCAAGCTCCACGTCGCCCTGAGGATACTGACACTGACCGAACGCCGGGATAGAAGACTATTACCAGCAGACAGACAACAAGAGCCAAACTGTACGGCCACAATGACGACTGTCTCAGCAGAGTCGCGAAACAAGGTCTTTCATTGAGAGCACGCTTTTCAAAGGTAGTTGTTTGTCACCTGATGATGAGACTTTATTACAGGTCTTTATTATAGGTGAACTTCTCTTTTGAGCTCCCACATGACTCAATCAGAGCTTTAGCCTGGGCACCAAACACATGCATACGTCTGACATCCTTCGAGGGCAAGACTGCAGTAAACAGCAGCACAATTTGGTATGGCTTCAGAATACAGCACAAGTAGCATGAGTCCTTTTCCAAACAGCAACAAATGAAAACTACTATTTCAAAGCGATTGCAGAAAATGCACATGGACTTATTTGGTGCATGTTGATGGACTAAAATAAAGTTCAGCAATAAAGTTTGCTTGACCTCCAGTGCAGGGCTGTTTGCAGCACAGGTCATGGGAGAGAAAAGACAGCGGGTCAGTCGAGGACAAGTGCAAACAACATCACATGGAC